TTGTTTAGTGCATGTCTAAGCACACATAACACACCAGAAAAGAATGAATCAGCTATGTTTTTCTCGCACAGCTGCCCCCTGTGGAGCCTTTTTGCTGCTACCGCTGCTATAACACAACATAACCCAACACAACACAACAAAGACCCTAACTGAGCCTTCTTTTTGGGCAATAAAATGTACGGTAAACAGACGGATATTTTCACTGAACAATGTGAAAAATCTAAATGTGGTTTGGAATTTGGAGGACTTCAGCATTTCTTAAATACTACCTACGACCTTGCTCCACCTGTCCCTGCTTGCTCCGATAATGAAAAATCATATCAATAATAAATGATAATAATTATTTCAGGGAAAGCTATTAACTAAATGAGGTCATGTTTAATGATCAAGCCTTGCATATTAGACATTCAGCTCAATGTACATTATAAAATGTTCCTTTGGCCGCAGAGCTTTAATAGACCAATGTGAACAATTATATTTAAAGTGCAAATTGGGACCCTGTCTACATTTCTCATTTGATTTGTCCTCTGTCTCTTGTCAGGAGGGGTGAATTGTCTCTGAAAAAGGTTGTCCTGCTGTGATGAAATACTGTAACCAAGTCTTACAGGAAATGTTGAGCTCAGACTGCATTTTAGAAAACCTGTGACGTCACTCTGTGAAACCAGATCTTACCAGCTTGCATAATACAATGTGGTCGTGTTTTTGTGAATGTATGTGTGGAATACTAATGTGATGGTTTCAGACAGGAGCCTACATTGCATGAAACTCAAACATGTTCTCCCTTTGTTCACGTGCAAACACATGTAAGAAGTTGAAAGAAGGTTTTTGAATAAGATTAAGAGCTGGGGGCAGGAAGTGACTGACACGGTAAAGGGGACTAAGGCCTGATGTCAGACGGTAACAAAATATCCAAAACTCACACAGGGGACTCAAGTGTTTAAGGACTAAGCTCAAGTGAAGGGGCCTCTTGATTTACATACATTAACCAACATCAAAAGGACTCTTTGCACACCTCTGAGTCATTATTACTTCAAAAGCTCCTTTCTCTCACTTTGTGAAATTAACCGTGACTTCCTCCGCTTTCACCTGTTTCACCTGTATAATAGAAACACGACCCTGCTGATGTGATATTAGGCCGTAAATAGAAAAAGGCCATTGACCTCGAATATCCCTGGATGTTTATCCGGCAGCACACTGAAAGATCTCGCAATAGAGAGTCTCATTATCCTTTCCTGAATAAGCCACATGTCGTGTTTTCTCCTATTATTGTGTACAGTATGGCTATTCAAACAAATGCCTTCTCTGTAGAAAACTATACATCCACATGTTGTGAAGGGAGAGACTCCTCTGACAGCAGGTCATCTCGTTCGCATCAAATACCTTTTTTCCCTCCTTCTCATATTAAAGAGGCGTCCATGTAACAGCCGTGGGCATTGGATAACTAAATGTGATTTAATAACATATGATCAGACAGGCTTGCAGAGACCGTCTGTGCCACTCATATTGCAAAAGGGACAGTTGTTTCCACGGAAACCATGTTTGTGGAGCGTTGGAGATAAATTGCAGCAGTATCTCCCTAATAATAATTTCTATTATCGGCGCTGGATGTTTATATTATCATGTAAATAAGGGGACGTGCCAGGCGACAGCAGGTCGGAGCTGAGGGCTGGTGAATAGAGGAGATCAAATAAAACAGTTGAGCAATCCTCACATGTGGGTGTGCCAAGAAACACACAGTGGAATAAGGTAAGTCACAATTACTTACTTTTTTTTATGGGGTTTCTCTTCAGAAACTCAACATAGGAAACTTGTAAAGGTAGTGAGAAAAAGTGTGAACTTACAAACCACCAACGCTGACAAGGAGGAAGTTGCTCAAATTGGTGGGACTTCTTTGCTGTCTTCACATACCTCTGAAGAGGAGTACAAAAAACCTCCCCTTGGTTTGTGACTGGACTATAAGAGCTGAGCTTCTGTCACACATGTTCACTTTATTTGAGGAAGCTCATCAGAAAAGGGTAAGAACTACTTTAACTAGCATTTTCTTACTATCATATAATTATAATGTTATATATATATATATATATATATATATATATATATATATATATGTTAATGTGAATGAAAGCTTTTATAGATATTTGCTTCAGTCTTTTATTTGTATTTTCTTGTTTGAAGAGGCAGGCATTAGATACTGAAAATACTAATTTCCCCGCTGTAGTTAAGTCATTATGTTTCTGAGGGTCATCATTTTCACAACATGTTCAGTATTTGTGCACACACTCAAAACAGGGTTAGGACGTTAATGATAAAGGCATCATTGTACTGTATTTACGACGGGGAGGAAGCAATAACACGGCATTATGGTTGTATACAGAAACCATGGGCAGGACCAAAGCACTGACTCCTAATTAAGAGATAATTCAGCTCCGCAATAAACTCTGAAGTACGGATATAGAAAATAATTAAGAGGTAATACAGGAAAAAAGGAATGAAAGTTTATCTCCTTGTGGTCTCTCAGCTTGTTGGCTAAAATGGTGTGTTATAAAAGTGTAGCAGTGCATACACTCAGTACTAGGTAGGAATATTGCGCTGTGCAGAGTGCTAATCTCTTTCCATTCTGTCTTATCAGCAGAGCTCAAAGCCCTCGAGGAAATGATGAGCGTTGGTTTATCGGTAGGGACAGGAAAACCACGCTGTCTCGCCGGGTTTGTTCCAGGCCACTGACCCAATAAGAAGCTTCGTCTCCTGCGGTTCTGATTGCCTGACAGATCAAACCTTGCTGTGCCGCAGTGTATTCATTCCCCCCAGGGTCAAGGACATAATGTGACACATCTCAATCCCTGACTGCCTGACTGACACACACCGAGGCCACCATGCAGGAGTGCCACACCGCACTGTGTCTGTCCGTCTACATTATCACCTTTGTGCTGGGCTTTCCGGCTAATCTCCTCGCCCTCTACACCTTCTCCAAGAAAGTGAGGAAGAAACCCACGCCGATCGACATCCTGCTCCTCAACCTGACAATCTCTGACCTCCTCTTCCTCCTCTTCCTGCCCTTCAAGATGCAAGAAGTGATGAACAACATGCTCTGGGACATGCCCTACCTGTTGTGTCCGCTGTCTGGCTTCGTCTTCTACATGACCATTTACAACAGCACCTTCTTCCTCACTGCGGTCAGCGTGGAGCGCTACCTCGGCGTGGCTTTCCCCATCCAGCACACCCTGAAGCGCCGTCCCGTGTATGCCGTCGCCGCCAGCATCTTCTTCTGGATCTTCTCCTTCCTGAACCTGAGCATCGTGTTCGTCATGCCCTTTATCCGCTCTGACAACCCTCCGAATACTACCGTAGGCCTCAATGACACTGCCGTTGATCGAGCGTCGAATGAAGTGTGTTATGAGAACTTTACCGATGCCCAGCTGAGGGTCCTCCTGCCCGTGCGTCTGGAGCTCTGTGTGGTTCTGTTCTGCATCCCTTTCCTGATTTGCAGTTTCTGTTACATTAACTTCATCAGGATTTTGACCAAGCTGCAGCACATTGACCGCCGCCGCCGCCTCCGGGCCATGGGCATGGCTCTAGGAACACTGCTGGTGTTTGCTTTATGTTTCGGGCCCTACAACGTCTCGCATATTGTCGGTTATATCACATGGAGAAGTCCCGACTGGAGGGACAAAGCGTTGCTGTGCTGCACCTTTAATGCTTGTCTAGACCCTCTTATTTTCTACTTCGCCTCTTCTGCTGTGAGAAAGAATGTTGGTAGTGTGATGGCAGGGGTTAGGAGTCGCCTAAACCGGTGCATGTCCTGTCACATGCTCAGGGCCTTGTGTGGGGGGATTAACGAGACTGCAAAAGATAAGGAACACAAACAAGAAGAGATCAATGCTATCTAGGCTGACTGAGAGAAAGCTGTGAGCAGCTGCCTTCGCTATGTTCTTTCTTCATCCCTGGAAGCAGGGAATCAATGCCATGTTTATGTTTTTACATGTGTGGGAATGGCCTGGCATACTGTATACAGTGCAGCATGTCCCTCTTTGATTCTGTGATCAACTTCCCTCTGAGAAACGAGACCAAAGAGAAAAGCTTCGGTCTGTCTGAGCAGACCACAGCAGTTTGTATGCACTGTAATAAGAATAGCCAGACCACTTTGAACTTCCATATTTTAAAGGAAAACCTGTTCTTACAGAGCAGCAGGATTTCATAAAGATCTCCCTCCATGCAGTCGGTGTTGCCGAGTGCTGCGCCAACAAAGTGAATATCTAAGCAACAGTTGCAGACGTCACCTCTTAGCAATAATAGATAAAGCTTTCCTAATAGCTTTAACCATGGACAGGATATTTCTTCTTTTTGTTACAACATGTTCATTATGTAAAAAAGGAGGAGAGACAGGGATTTGTGCAGCTTTACAAAAACACATAGTATGCAGCTATAATGTTGCTTTTTATGTGAACATATAATTCTGTGTTTTGCCTTACATGGGAGACCATTGTCATGCGGATTTTAGTTTACAAATCTATATTTATATTGGATTTGATTATATGGTCATGTTTAAACCATACGTGGTACTAAAGAAGCATATTTGTATGACATGCTGTATGAATGTATGAAATCTGAAAGCTGTATGACGGGGGATGTTATTGCAAAAGAGAAAACACAGAAATGGTATTTGCATACGGAAATTGAATAAACATATATTTTGAATAATGTGTGACTCATAGACTATTTTCTAAATGCAGCAGTCAGATTATAGATGATACACGTAATGTGACGTCATAAGGACGAACGATAGATCTACTATTTCCATAAACAAATCATGTAATCATATTTTTTGGATGAGTGAGCGATGCATTTTAACCACTTATCTTTATATCCACTGCATTACAGTACATGACTTTAGATGTGATCCACTTATCAGCCATGTATGTAAAATGCACACCTTTTTCATATATAATAATATTCATAAAAACAGTAAAATAAATTAGGATATATTGTGAGAAACAGCACGTTTTATTGAACAGAAAAAAAGGTTATTTGACACCAAATCACTTTAATCTAAATCTGGTTACACTGTAGATACAGGTCATTATTACTAGCAGTATTCAGTGCTTTTTGCAGTGTGCGTAGGTCTTAAATGTTCCCAAAACACGTGAATCAAGATCTCACCCCACACACTGCGCACGTAAACAATGCTATCACACAAGCATGCACTGGCATCGCCTGTAATCCTGTTTAGTGAGGATTAGGTCTGCGTGGAGGTTGAGCTGATCACTGTATCTGTTTGACAGGTGGATCATGCATGAAGCATCCATTCTGACACACAGACCAGAATGAATGGTTTAAGATGTGCGAACTACCAGCCACTGGCACAATGAGCAGATTACAAAAAAAAAAACACCCAAGTCAGCACACCGTGGCGATGAAGAGTTGTAGATATAAACAGCTTTGATGTGCAGAAAGAAATCAGCATTGCATCAACATTTAGAGGATACATGGTATGCTAGAACAGTGTACAGCAAGAGGTTTAGGAACGGGACAAACTTTAATAAAGGGGATTTAACACATTTACTCAGAATTAACCTTTGAGTTCATTCTCATTTTTCAGTGATGACTTTATTTGCGTGACGCTGTTTGTCAAAGGTTGGTCTGTCGAGATGAGCTGCACGGAACAACCAGCGTCCCTTTTTTTGTTTTCCAATTTCATTTTGTATTTCCTGGAAGACAATAATTGGTTACTGAGTCAGTGTTGACTTTTACCTGACAATGTGTGATAGGTTACGGAGGATAAGGCAATAAGAAAAACACAGCCCTGTGCTGTGTGCTTAAAGTATGCATGCGTGTGTGTGTGTGCGCGTGTGCGTGTGCGTGTACATGATGGTGTTTGCCAAAGGTAGAGGGCAATGTACTCACATAGTGGACATCATTTTGCCTGTACTCTGCAATGTTTGACTGCTGTTTAGAGAAAGAAAACATAAATGACATATAGTCTCTTAATGACTTCCTGTTTTCTTGCTAAGAGCTTTAACAACATTTACCTTCCAATAAAAAGATGGCGGTCACAGCAGAGAGGAAACACATCTTGAAAATGTTCAAGTGTCCAATCAGCTCATTGGGGGAGGCATCTGGAGAGAAAGAAAAGGACCAACACTGATTAGCACCGACTTATCATGTTTTCGAGCACAACAGAATTAAATCAGGAAGGTTGAACTTGCTTTGCTTGATGGACACTCGCCTCCTCGCTGGGAGGAGAGGTGTTTAAACATTGATTAGGAAAATCATTAATTTGTTCAAGTATGCAGTATTGCAGCAATCTGTTGCCTTGGAGTGATCGATGTCTGACCCACATTAACAGTCATGTAGGGCAAACGCAGAACAAGCGACTTATGGTATGTGAGGCCTGTCGTGCCTGAAACCTGTGTACAGACTGCATTATTTGAAAGGAAGTTGCATGCCGACTAGCAAAGTTGGGCCGGGTTTCTTAGAAGTAAAAGCCCTGCTTAATTTCTACAAGTTCAGTTTATTTGCAGATGGAGTATTTCCCAGAATTAGCCCGAAAATCTATGTATAAGTGCAAGAGTTTAGCAACTGGGTAAAACATACTTTGGTGTTGGCAGAAAATCAAAGGTACAAACTTGTGTACATGAAGACATTTAAGGCTGCTATTATCATTATTTTTAAATTAATCATTGATAAACCCATTGAGAACTATCAACAATATTTTCAGTTTCTTTCAGCTCTATTATTTCCATTCACAGAACAGAATTAGTTTTGCAGCTAAACTCTGATAAAACACAAATTATTGTATTTTCTGATGCTTTGTTTTCCCCTTTGTCTGTTTGTTTGCTGGATTTCTATTGCTTTTTGTGTCAAAAAAGTGTACAATGTTACTTCTAAAATAAAAAGGCAATAGAAAGTAAACTCTGATAAACTAACTGCATAATACCTGACCAGCACCAAACAGCAGCAAGGCAACATGTGCAACTACAGTGAACATGGTTTAGCAAAGAAACAAAGAAAGGGTCAGATATTCAAATACTTTCCTCAGGAGATGGTGAAGACCAAAACCAGAGCTAAAAGTAGAGGGGGTATTAGAGTAACATTTCTCAGGTGGCCACAAACAATACTTCACATGTATTCTAATGGTTAAAATTCTGCGTATATAAACTACTATTACTATTAAATAACTGTTATCAACTTTTTGATAGTGTACAATTTCAGTTTTGTAATTTTTTGTAAAATATTTGTAATTTCCTTTTAGAGAAATATTGCTACAGGCTAACGGCTAAAGGTTATACTTTGTATATACCTAATAATGATGCCTTCAGCAGTTTTATCAGTCCACTTTCAGATTCTGAGTCAATTCAGTAACAAAAAAAAGAAATGATAAGTGCTCTGCATTTTGTACAGCAGTGATTTGTAATATTTAGAGAAATCTGTCAAACTGAACTCACAGAAAAAAAACATGATTTCTTTAAAGCGAAATAAAATATTTAAAACTATTGGGGATAATATAGTCCTGTATATATAAGCTATGCAAACTACATTCTTCTGTATAGCATGTTTGGAAATGAATCAGTTCTTTCATTTACCCCAAGTGAAGGAGGTGGTCAAAGCCATGGTCCTTGCAGGGTGGTCCTGCACGCTACATGTGAAGGTGATCCCTGTTTCCAAGGACTCCTTCTGTGGGAGGAGGAACACGCTGAAGAGATACGCTTCCCGGCTGTGGTTGTCCGTGACCTGGAAACACTTTGGGTTCACCAACCGGTCTGAAGACAGCACGGCTCCATCAGTCAGGTGTTCAGACAGCTCAGCATGAGGGTGGGGCGCAGGGAGGGTGCAGTTGGTGAGTGGTAGGTGATCGATAATGGCTCCTGCACTCTGGTAAGTCCAGGTGAGGGTTAGCTCGCTTGGGTGGAAGCCCCCAGTGAGACAGAAGAGAGCCCACTGACCAGTCTGAGGGTCCGGGGGAATCTGGAGGTAAATCTGGGGCGCAGACGGTGGTGCTAGCAGGAAAAAGAACAGGTAAGAAACCAAGTAAACACATCAGATGAGATCATTCAGAATGTAAATGTAGGTCAATGCAGCAGGCATTAGAGTAAAATAGGACAGAATTATGGAAAGAGAAAATGAAGTAGTAATGTATTAGTTATCATGCAGCTATTTATTTTAAAACAAGGACAAAGGAAGCAGAAATAGCTTTATTTAACATATACATAAATTATGTTTGCATGGTGAACAATGTGCACATTGATAAAGTCTTCTGAGACATAAAGAAAAACGTTTTAAAATAGTACTTACAGAACACAAATGAAAAAATGCACTATATGATAAATATCTCCACTTCTATTTGCACTCTTACTATTTGCACTGTACATCATTCTTGGTAAATATAACCATTACAAAAAAACCTGGAACAAAAACGAATGAACAGGACTAAAATGGGTAAACAAATGAAATATCAATTGTAATTTGATGAAGGCAACATTGCATCCAGAGAAAAACAAAGGGAAGCTTTTTTCTGCATGAAAGATTTCCACATAATAATTTGGCCATCCCTCCCTGCCTTGTTTTCTGGTGAGTTTCAATTCCCTGGGCTAGATCGATACAAGGCACTGCACATGGTGCCGGGGTGATTATTTCTAGATCTGTCATGAAACCGCTGAGGCAAAAAGATGAACTCTGAGGGAATTTCCCATGACTTGAATTTTTATAGATTTAGCCCGGCCATTTCTGTTACGGTGAAGCATGGTCTAAAACCAAATGTGTCAAACTCAAGGCCCGGGGGCCAAATCCGGCCCTTGGTGGATTTAATTTCGGCCCGCAGGATAATTTCTAATTAATATTAGATCTGGCCCGCCGGTATATTGCACACAAACCTTCACTCAATCCTGAGGATTTCCTCCGCTCAGAGCCTGACCCCAAACATCGATGAACTTGCACCCAAGATGAGATGCCAAGTATCTGGCTTAGTGTGCATCACAGAGCAGCACACTGAGTTTCAATGGATGTGTTTTCTTGCGACAACAGGGGATGTTTGGTTTTCTCTTTGAGGGAAATTGTTTTTTTTAAGCTGTTGTTGGCCTGTGGAAAAATGTAATCATAAGAAATGACTCTGATTATTTAATGTTTAAATAATGTTTTAATGTTAAATGATAGGCAATCATTTAAGCTTTGTTAGTTCCAGGTTTAATATGTGCAATAAGTTCATTTCAATAAGTTTTGCAATAAACATTGAACCAGTCCGGCCTTCGACTAGTACCGATTTTTTTATTTTGGCCCACTGTGTATTTGAGTTTGACACCCCTGGTCTAAACCTACAGTCTATGGTCTAAACAGACGCTTGTATGGAGCCTCAAGCCTCACAAAAGACCCCAAATGAGACATAATTAGCAGCATTGCAACATCACACATGCACAGCAACTCTGATGAAGTTCTGCAATGATGAATTGGTTTCTTACCTAACACAACCAGCTCGGTCCCGTTGCCCCACTCTGGGTCTTTCTGTAGGACGTTGACCTCGCAGTAATACCACCCAGAATCCTCCAGTGTTACCTCAGCGATCACCAGGGAGGAAGTTTGATTCTTCTCCACAACGAACTGCCTGGATGACTTTGGGATGAGCTGGTTTTTTTCCGACTTCATTTTGAACCACTGAACCCCATACTTCAGGGATTCAACTTTGAAATGACAGGAGAGGGTTGCCGTTTCACCCCGCATCACACTGAGAGAGGGGGGTTGCTGTCTCACCCGCAGTCCCTCTGGGGTAGCTGTCAGGGCTAAAGACAGAGCCATTAATACAACATGTCATACAAGGAACTTTTAGAAAGTACAGAGCAGACCCGCAGGTCAACTACAAATACTTTAAATGTGCGTTTAGTATTCCTGAGTGACAACTGGGACGGAGAACAGACAGAAAACTCTGAAGCACACAATTGAATTTCACTTTACCATAATGCTTACAACACTTATTGAATGGCTCCTAATGCGATAAACAGCACCTAACGACAAAAGCTGTTTTCTTTTCAAACAAAGACGAATGCAGACACTCTGGAGTACAACAGATTTCAACGGCATTGCAGTTTCTTTTTGATTGTGGCACTTGTCTGGCTATGTGTGACAAAGTGATTATTAAGTGCGATGATGACATACTGCAGATATGATAAGCAAAACACTCAGGAACTCACAGTGGAGCAGAGACGACACAAAAGATCATCAAACTAAAAAGTTAAGGTCTAAAGAAAAGGTTGTATAACTAAATCTTGTACTTCAATTAATTGGAGCAGAAGCCAGACTTTTGCACCAATTCAATCATTGTTATAGACTTATATTTCACTTCAAATGTCATTTAAAACTTTTTAAATGGATACCTAAAGAAACGAACCTAGAAAGCCAACACGTTTTGTAACATGCCTGATTCACACTGACCTGGTTTTTGGCCTGCCCACAAAAGCAGCACACACAGGTGAGTTAGTTTTGCCATGCTGCTGTTGTTGTTCCCCACTCCAAGCTTGAGTGGCGAAATAACCTCTCAGACACTCTCAAGTCTGAAGCTCGCTGTGCTTCAGAATGTGAGGGTGTCAGCTTGTTTTGTTGTTGCACTCTATGGTTAGAGGTGATGGTTCATTAATAGGTCATTCTTCAACAGAAACCTGAATCTCAGAGACTGTTTTTGTTGAAACATGTCAAGATTCTTGTCAAACAAATAGACATTGTGTTTGCATGCTGACAGAAACCACAGTGCAACAGCAAGCATTATTCTACAGGTTTATCCTTCTTTCTACACTAGGCTCTTTGAATCGCAATTTGTCAGATTTATACTTTGATTTATGTAATAACAGTAATGGGAAAAATAAGCCTAAGGCCACTAAAGGTTTGTGTTTACAGCCAGTTATCGTAAAAACAACTGCTTATTTACAAGATTATTAAAACAGCATAACACAAATAACCTCTTAATATAAGTTGAAGTAATGATCACTCAAAAACAACTCAAAATTCTCAGCCAAAACATCCTCACAAGTAGCATGAAATGGTGTCTTCTGGTTTAGAGGATTTGCAGGATATAACTCAATGTGTTAATGTGTTCCAAAACTCATGTTTTGATTTTGGCTTTTTGAGGTTTTCTTTCCGTGCGATAGCTGTAAATATGAATTTCCTGAGTGGCCTAATGAGCTAGAGAATAATTAATTCAAAATCTGCGTCCAATCTCTGGGGGGAAGAAGACATGTGGTACTAGGTGTTATCATCATCATCAAAGCAGGCAAACAAGCTTAACAAATATGAGTTCAACTTGAGGAAAAAAAGTCAGATAAAACTTGTAACCCTGAATGTAAAACTACGAGGATCGACTGTTTAAAAGCACTTAAAGGGACTTTACGTTCCTTTATGTAAGTCAAGGTGCTCTGAAAACAGTTACATATGTGAACTAATATAAACAAAGAAATCACATACTTTATAAAGAGAAGTCTTCCAAATAAGAGGGCATCAGTTAAATAAACACTTCATTACTTTCTGATTTTCTAATCGCCTTTAAAATTACAATTCTTGATTGTTTGGTTCCAGTTTTTGTATCAGTCATCTTTTTACGTCATGCATATCTAACAAATACAACCCCTTCGGTTGCATCGTTACAGTATGTACTTACACTAAACATCACATTCAAGTACATGTATGGGATAAGGCAAAGTCTAGTGTTATTACATATTCAAGCATCTTCACTTAAAGCATTAATAACATATTAACATGTCCTATTGCTTTTTTGGGGAAGGTATTTTATGTAGGGTTTAAACCAGATGAATAAATTGTGTTAATTTTATGTTTCACACATATTAGTACAGAAAACCACTTTAGTGATTTTCCTGACAGACTTAATAAAAGCATTTTCTGTGGACATGTTAATGTACACAGAATACTTTATGCATTAAGTGTTTTACAATGAATATGAGCAAAAACCTAAAGCAATTATGCGTGTGATTGACAATAATTGACTTAACATGTGGAGCTGTAACGACAAGTAAAACATTTCCTGCTGGTTGTAAGAAATTACCACTAATCACGAGACAACATTATCGTTAATCAAAATGTTTCCTGACAAACGAGTTAAAAATGACATGTTTTCACATTTATGATTATAGATGACTGCAGATCTATTATGAACTTATCAACCACTAATAGCATTTAAATAATTATCTGGCAAGTGGTTTGATATGAGCCATTTATTCTGAGAGCCTCATCAAACCAAACATTCAGACATTTTAATAAAAAAATCTGAGACAAACCTGCAAACACAACAAAGACAGAGGCTCTTTATGCAGCAGGAAGCCAAAATCAAGCCGAAGCAACGCGCTGACCTCGCCTCCTTTCCAACCGCAGGTTCAAAAGAGCCTCGCTTCCACAAACCACACATAGCGAGTTCTGTTAAAAACAAAACTGATTTTTTATTTTTTTGTCTCCCTCCACTTGATATGATTTTTAACTCCACTTCATGGATTTTGAAAAAAAAAAAAGACACTCCAAAAATAAAAGCCAAGAAGACAAGTTCAGCAACAAAACAAATCAAAAAGAAGTACAATCATCGCTTCACAGCAGGAAACATTTGTCGGGGTGAAGACAAATGTTTTGTTCCTTTCATTGTTTTTTTCAATCTTGTGTGTTTACATTGATGAAATCTTGAAAAATTTAATTATGCCTGTTTGAGTTATGAAGGAAAGCAATGTGACTGCCCTGTGTAGCACACAGAATATACACACAAACGCACAGACACACACACACACTTTAAGATATTTGCACATAACCCTTGAATTCCTCATGCTCAATGTGGAGCTTAATACACACTTGCACATGTACACAAATGTTAGACACACACACACACATTGTTTATATAGGCAACAGCAGTGGGCACACCTCGAGCACTGAGGGGTGGGAGGGAAGAACATTTTACAAGTTAACTCCCCACAAAAATAAATGGAGGACAGGTAGGATGAAGGAAACACTACGTGGGTGTGTGTGTAAGTACTGTGTGTGTGTGTGTGTGTGTGTGTGTGAGAGAGGAGTAACTGACAAGAGAAGAAGAGGTGAGTATAGGAGATAAAGAAAGATGGATTCCATATTCAACTAACCTAAGCCATCTCATTCCCTCAATTACCCACAGTGGGATTTTCTTCTGGTCAAATTTCTTATTAGTTCCCGAATTAGACATTTCCCATGACTCTTCAGTGAGGGTGTCTGCAGTATGTTCACTGTGATTGCCCTCTTGAGGCACAAAGCCCATGACCAGCCCCTATCATACATCCTGTCATGTATCCCAGACTCAGGCGCACCTAACACGGTAATAAGACACTTGTAGCCTGCATCGATGACTTCAGCGCAGCCCCGCCACCATATAACTGCTATATAAATCAGCACTAAAACACCAGTTGGTGCTGTCACTTGTGAAAGAAATCCAAGTTTCCCCTGTCAGTTCTCAGAACCACAACCAATATTTACCCCCTTGGTTGATTGACAAGGAAAATGCCAGGCGTGGGCTGGTGATTCAGAGAGGCCAAGTAATGGGACTCTTTCTATGTTGGAGATGTGAGGTGGGCGACTTAATGACTAGGGGAGACGTGGTGGGCGAGATGTCTCCATTGTGCTGCCTGGTCCATGCACACGACGCTGTTGCTCGAATGGTGGAGTGCAGCAGGCTGTTAATTATTCAGACGCTCCCGTCCTCAAAGAGGTGAGTGATTGACAGGGCGCCATCTGTGGTCGCAGTGAGGAAGAGGGCGAGGCTGCCGTCTCTGTGGCTCCACATCTTTGCTGCTAGCGGAGGTTTAATTTATATACAGAACACCTGAACTGAATGATATGTGTAAGGAATCTACAGTAACTACTCTTAATTACACACTTAACACATCTATCTATCTACCTACCTACCTATCTAAATACATATCTACCTACCTATACCTACCTACCTATCTATCTATCTATCTACCTATATCTACCTACCTATCTACCTATATCTACCTACCTATACCTACCTATACCAACCTACCTATCTATCTATCTATCTATCTACCTATATCTACCTACCTATCTACCTATATCTACCAACCTACCTATCTATCTATCTATCTATCTATCTACCTATATCTACCTACCTATATCTACCTATATCTACCTACCTATCTATCTATCTATCTATCTATCTATCTTGATTGAAATATGGGCTTACCCCCCACTGTTTCTGCTGTGCGGGGGCAGTGGATGGATAATTGTGCCATGGAGGGTTTGTAGTGCCCATGTCTGCATGTCACAGGTACACACTGAAGGGAGGACCAGCGCACCAAGGCAAGCTTGTCCTTGAAAGCAATAATATTAAGTTGAACCTAAAATGTTAATCTTAACTTAAAAGTATTGCTTTAAACTACAGTTATGTGAAATCTGTTGACATAATACATATAATTAAAGTCAACTTTTCAGTTTTTCTCTATCTATCTATCTATCTATCTATCTATCTATCTATCTATCTATCTATCTATCTATCTATCTATCTATCTATCTATCTATCTATCTATCCATCCATCCATCCATCCATCTATCCATCCATCCATCTATCTATCTAATGAACACTAATCTTGATCTAAACCTACATCCTGCAACTGTCATGCGACTTTAATTAACAAATCTGAACCTGACGTGTGCTCGTGCTCACTGTTGTGGAGACTATCCGCGTCACAATCCTGTCTAGCTTGCTGTATACTAATGCACTCATTGGCTGGGGTAATGGAAAAGTACTGGGCCCTAATAGACATGCAACATGGACTTTGCCCATGAGACCCGAATGAGCCTGTAGATAGTTGGTAAACAATGGATAATTAGGATAATATATGGGAATTAGGCGTGCTTTGCTGTAAGGGACGTGAGCAGGGGATTTAGAGCAACGATAATCATCATATATAATTATCACTGTGTATATAGCTTATTTGTATACTGACTCTGGTGCTGAAACATTTTGCCATTTGTCACAAAATTATAATCTGTTACATATACATCATAATTTCTTTCTATTGTATATTGCGCTGAGGCAACTTCTTTATAACAACAAACCAGCCTCTTGATACAGAATGCTGACTGAAATGCAAGCAAATCTCTGTCATAAACTGAAATGTTACCTTACAGGACACACTAAATTGCACAGAGTGTGACAGCCCATCAGGGACCATGTTCGGTTAACACGATATTATGTAGCGAAAAGACAAAAAATACCAGCCTGGATTGACTTGAATAGAAAACAAATGATTAATTCTTCATTCCCTGGATCTGAACACATATAGTTTACTGAGCTGACATTACAGCTTGCCCAAATAGTTTCAGAGCAGGGTTTGAAATCGATGCGCAATTAGGAGTGTCTTGTATCAGGCATGATGAATTATGCTCTCTGTTCTAAGGCTGGTCTATAGACACTTGATCAATTCAGCTTCTGGGGACCTGGTAAAGCAAGCCGGGGAGAAATTGCTCTATTCCAAAGCCATTTGGTCGAATGTATTGATTAACCATTGCATTCAGAATTGAAAGTCGGTCCGGGATCTGTTCTGGGAGGGTGTTGTGGGAAAAGCTACAGCATGAGCCTGCCACATACTAAATGGAGAAAGCAGTACATTGATACCTTCTCCGGGCTTTGCTTCTTGCTAATTTATGTGTTGAGAAAAGGCTCGGTGCTTTCAAACTGTTCAATGTATTTCATAGTATTTGACTAACTCTGTTAAATAAAAATCCATCTCCTAACACTGCCCTGGTTTGTTAAGAAAAACAAAAAGTGCCATTCAATAACAACTAATAAATTCCACTCCTTTTCCACCCATGTAAACCCATTAAATAAATCTCCGCATGAACAACAGTATGGCTGCCACACAATGCTATACGTGTTAAAGTGGCACTATGTGCTAGTTTCGCAAGCTCTAAACAACAGCCTCGTGGCACCTTATTAACAAAGTAAACAGATCATAACCTTCAGCTGCAGAAGCCAATCAACACTTTCTCATCAGGGCGCGCCGAATGTAATTAGGGGCCGAGCAAACGTCTTGTTTATATCACCGTAAACTCATTGAACCCCAGTTGGGTTATTATTTATACACTTGAAGTAGGCCAGACTGGTTTTGCGATCAAGGCTATGCTAATGCTATTCATTACATAGCGCAACCATAAATAGTGTGTGGTACACCATCCCCTTGGAGGGACCGCAGTGCCCAAGTTTGGAAATGCAATATGAGCGCCTGCCTGTCTCCCTTCTCTAACTAGAGGGTTCACAGTCATCCCATCTCCCCCATGGCTCTCAGCTTTTGTTGTATTGTCAGGGTATCCTCCCACAGGCCCGTTGTGCAGGGTGCTTTCTCAACAGCATCCTCTTCTACTCTCAAATTGAGCACCCAGGGGATCGGCTGCCTCCTTGTCTACACTCTCTCCAGTCCTCCTCACCAGCGTGATTCATCTACATACACCATGACTCATGAAAACATGTTCTTTTGCTGTTTGTGTGTACAAATGCCCACATTCTGTTTGTAATCACTCCTCAATTTCAAGTCATATTGCTTGTATCACCATCCGTCTGGACCATTCAACCATGAGCCTGAACACAACATACAATGTTTGCTTGTTTCTTTTTTTTTTTAAATCCACCCATACACGAACATTGACGTGCTTTTTTCAAACCCACATGGAGAAACATGACAGAATGTTTGTTTTTTTGTCCGTGTTTTTTTTTTCATTTTGACATTTTCTTCAATTTTTTGTTATTTTTCTTCATCAAGGACAGATTATGTACATAGAGATGTTATATGCCACCGACAGACCCAGTGGGATGCTGACATGGAACAGTATAGAATATTTGAGCGGAAAACCAAAGAAAAAACAAACAGCATCAATGGCCGAGATATTGAGGCTAAAAAAGTGACTGAGAAAAAGAAGCATTGACCAAACAACCTGCTCTTGTGCTTGAAATGGAATCCATCATTATTTTTGGAGCAACAAGATGCATGCACAAACAGTGTGTTCTGTCACAGAGACAACCCGAATACATCGCAGAGGGCAAGACTTTTTTGAGTACAACATGTATTGTTTTAGATTAAGGGCCATTTAAACAGAGCTTCACAATCATTTCCGAGTACTGTACACAGTAAAAGTACAACAATAGATCTATTTGATATACCTTGTTAATGTGATTTTTTTTCAGATATTACACCACAACTTTACCCATATCTGATACCTCTTGCACAGTAGAGTTAGGGGTTATTGCTGGTTTGAAACAAAATCAAACAAAACACATTCAGACAATTGATTCAATACAGAGTAATTTCCCTTTAAGGTTGCAGGGTTCAGCCGGGGGAAACTCGTCTCTCCGTGCAGGCTCGTTATGGCATATTTGCATATAGTCGCTGCATGTGAGTGGAACAGTGTTTCAGTGGAGAGTCGAGTGCCACAGTATTGAAATATGGGCTTACCTCCCACTGTTTGTGCTGTGCGGGGGCAGTGGATGGATAATTGTGCCATGGAGGGTTTGTAGTGCCCATGTCTGCATGTCACAGGTACACACTGAAGGGAGGACCGGCGCACCACGGCGAGCTTGTCCTTGAAGAGGATTCCTGTCAGTGGCAGGATTGAGCTTGATTTATGGGGGCCATCACTGGCTGGCAGGAGGGACAGGTGGAGCCCAGGCTCCTTCACTTAGCCAGCCACAGGTAATGGCTAATTACATCTTTATCTCCCTGCAGTCTGGCCAAACAAGAACCGACTTACAGTACAGCCACGACCAGAGCCTGACATGGATCCAAATCATTTATCTAGCTGGTCGGAGAGAGACAAACTATGATAAGTGGACAAATATGCAGTAGGTGTGTGTGTGGGTGATGCAGTTAACAGCATGACAAAAAAGAGTCCAATACATAAACTGTTACAAATTATAAATTACATCGTCATTCACTGCTTCTGGACTTGATGAAATAATCCTTCAGACTGTTTCAAATGCGTTTTTAAAAAGCTTGTCATGGCAAAATAGAGCACATCACTTCAAAAACGTTACATGTCTTTTTTTTTTTTTTTTTTTCTTGTAGTCGTTCAATGTGTGTGATTTCTCAGAGTAAGTACAAAAATTATGTTTCCCACGCACGGCTCATTACCATCAGATTTTGTTCTTTTTTTTTCTCACATGGAATTACTATTCATAGTTATTGAAATACTTATTAACATCATCATCATCTGTACTATTATTAACACCAACAAAGTAAAAGCAGGTAACCTTGCAGAGTAAACGGACACAGTGCAGGGAGGGAGGGAGTGAATGGAGTCACAACAGGAACATCTCTAACCGGTACATGCTATCAACAAGCGACAAAGAGGATGGAGTCGCAGCTTTGAAACAGAAGATATAGTTGTCACTTGACAGTCTCTTGCTGCTTCAGAAAACTGGAGCGTAGTCGAGGCTGATGGGAGATGTCGTTCGGCGCCAGGCAACTTGAGGTCGCCGGCGTGGCCTCTGTACTGCATATTATTTACACTGGGGAGGGAGACTGGGGGAGGAAGGGGGTGACACAGAGCAGGAAACACTATAGCGATGCATTGGGGGACTAGACAGAGCACGTTGAACAGAGGGGCGGGGGGTAACGGGTCTAAAAAGGTTTGGGTAGTAAGGGGGTCTACATGCGAAACCTTGGTATAAACCCCCCGAATTACATAAAGGGGAAGTTAAGACTGACACCTTCACCACCCACCCTTTTTTTTTAAATACATTTGACATCATTCATAGCAGCTTCACTGCTACACAGTTAAAAGTAAAAAGCCATACGTGTGTGTGTGTGTGTGTGTGTGTAATCACAGGGTGACACTTCACATAGCCACCAACTGGACAATTTTTCAAAAGGTCACATGACCGTCAGTACCACATTATAACTATAATTTCCATAAATATCCACCATAGTATTGAGATGTTATGTACCGTTCCCATAAGGCAAACATTGTAGGTCAGTCATTAGTCTATGTAGTATATTACATCAATGATCGTCCAGTTGTTAGATTATCTATTTTCTCATTGATCACAGACACAATAATCGTTAATATACACTCTCTATTAACATCAGCCCAGTGGTAATAATGAAGGGAAAGCTCGGTAAGGAGGGGAGTACCAAGTCAGACAAATCTGCAAGGCATTCTGGGAGACACAAAGAGAGAGACAGACTGTGTGTGAGAAAGAGAGGAAGATATGATTACAGTGGTTTGACCTCGAAATTGAATTGAGGGTGTGGGGGGTGTTGGGGGGGCGGGAGCTTAATGGGGTTGTGTTTGATGCAATGATTCAATGGCTCCTGGAATAATGCATATTCTTTTTGTTCACAGTGATGGGTTCGTAATTAAAGAATTTCATTTCCTTCTTCCATCCGTAGAGGGGGAGAGAGGGAGGAAGAGGGGGAAGGGGGCTTTAAGGGACATTTAGGGACACTTCCAGGTGGAGCTCCATCTTTACACCTTCAGCAGAAGAACAGCAGAGAGGGAAAGCCAAACAGACACGCCGACACTCATCCCTGCATGTAGACCGACTCCTCGCCCCTTAATGGCCCCCGGTCCTGCACGAAAAAGTACCAAAAGAAGGGAGAATATGTGTATATGTAAAAGAACAAAGAAAATTGTTGGTGTATAGTTGTGGTAGTAGTAGAAGCAGTAATAGTAGTATTAGTAGCATTATTATTATTATGGGTTATTATTATAGTTATTATTAAAACAAGTGCAAGAAACTCATTCTGATACCTCGGCAAACCTTTGTAAACAAAAGACTAGGCCTGTGTATTACATCTGTGATATGGTGTAGACATTTAAAAAACATTTCCCATATTCCAATAGCTTAACATTCTACATTAGTCTCATATAGTGTTATCAGAAAGGCAAGCAGCTGATCATGCATGCACAGTACAAGCACACAGCCATTATTAATGTTATTAGTTACACGTATTTGTCACGTCTAAATGACCACCGTGAGAGAGGTCTATTGAATTCCCTGATTTAGTAACATATTAATATCAAGTTTCAAAGCCATGACATGCTGGCTAATTACACGTTAAAGGCTTTCAGAGCTGACATTTTGACGTGTCAAACACAGGTGAAATTATTGACTTTAATAATGGCTGGGCCAGAAAGGCACAGAGTCTGCATTCATACTGTAGTAGAGGTACACAGTCTTTATTAATGTGATTAGTTTCACCTATTTGTTACGTCTAAATTGACACTGGGAGAAAGGCCTATTGAATTTCTTAATTTAGTCACATGTGTATGGTTTATCTCAAATGACAAAGTGATGAGAAGCTTGAGTTAACGTGTTCATGGTTTACATTTTGACTTGTCTAACACAGGTAAAACTAATAACATTTATTATGGCTCTGATTTGATTTATGTGTGCCAGAAATCTAATCCAGTCAGCCAGAAAACACATTATGAGCACTCTGGCACTGAGACACTTCAATGAAATGCAACCCTTATTAATTTCATTAGCTACACCTGTGTCTGACAAAGTATCCGCAGAGAGAAGGGCCTATTGAGTTATATAATTCAGTATGTTGCCATGGCGCATCTTAAATTAAAAAGCCATTAAATTCCGATAATGGCTCTCTAGAAAGCAAAACAAAAGGCAACATTATTCAAGTAAAACCTCAAAAAATGGTGTGAGACGCACAAAATTACATCATAATTTGTGAGACAAATGTAAAAACACCTCTTCCTCTGTGGGGCCATTGGCAATCTAGTAGATTTCGAAATTGTAATGTAATAATGTACAGTAAAAATGTATACTTAGAGCTAGTACAGGCTGCCAATGGTCTCAGTAATGGGATCATTTGTTCAGGATAATTACAATAATGTGCCAATTTTGATGTGATAGTGGGCTGTTGACATGAAAGTGCTACATGAGGTACCTTTTAAAAATAGTGAACCAAGGTACAAAAGGATAACAACAAAGTCAGCAGAGACAATGACAGTGAGGGACAGTTTATGAAAATAAATGCCACATAAGTATCTGATTATGCTCCGATTTTCCATGCCTGGACCATAACAGAGAGAGGTTTGTTGTGTTCTAATGATGGCAGGAGGAGATTAGGGAGGAAAGAGGAGGCAGAAGGACAGATGATGGAGAGATAGTCTGACAGAAGTGGCAGCGGTGGTGGAAAAAGAGAGCAGGAAGATGTATGGGTCTGACGAGGGAGTGAGTCATTGAAGGGAGACTGGCCGAGATAATGGGTAAAGGAATGAAAGAAGAAAGGGGATAGATGAAGGACTCACTTAAGATGGTAATGCTGAATGCACTAAAGGGAGGTGTGGGTGTGGAGGGGGGTAAAAGGGAAATGAAAGGGAAATCGCTCATTGGGGACGGTTAATGTGAATTGGGCTTGGAGAGAAATGACAACTTCTTGGGTAACAGGACAGATCCGAGCGAGTGTGCGTGCATGCAGGAATGTGTACGGACGAGAGATGGAGGGTGAGAGCGGGAACGAACGAAAGAGAGAGAGGGAGACGGTAATGTAGGCAAGCAGAGCTTTAATGGGGCGGAGAATAACGAAAATGGGGAGGAAGGAGGGAGGGAGGGAGGGAGGAGAGGGCTGAGAAAATGCTGTGCAGAGTAAAAATGAGACAGGGCGCAGAGGGAAAAACAGTGTGTCATTGCATATGTACCGTTTTGTGGGAGTATGTCACATGTGATAAATGTGAGCGTTCTAATGTTCTTGCTATTTGAAAACTTACGAAAAAGCAGCATGCTGGCGTTGGAGGCCCCAAGACGGTTCGAGGCAAAGCAGGTGTAGTTGCCAAAGTGTTTCTCTGTCACATTGGTGAACAGCAACAGCGAGCGCGTCTTCTCGTTTTTGATCCTCAAGGTGTTGTCACTCTCTAGCGGCCTGGGTGGTAGAGGTGGGGGAGCGGAAGCAAAGGGGGAAAAAAAGAGTGTGTCAGAAAAAGGGAAATAACATAAAAAAATCACACCTAGTGACTCAGCCCGCATAAGAGGCTTTTTCTACATCTCTCCCTGCCACACAGTCCCCCCCCACACTCTAGCTCTGCCTCACCTTGTACTCATAGTGAAGTCTCACAGTCCATAAATAACAGAGACCTCCTGCAGGGGCCCATTTTACTCTATTAACAGCTCTCTCTGGCTGACAAAGGCTTGTCTAAGTAATTTTGCATCTTACCTTGGCTGATGCCAAATCATCCTCACTCTTCCTACGCTCTCTGGGACCTTTTATAAACTCGGATGGAGAGATTATGTGTGGGTTATAGAGAGCAAATAGTTTTCCAACCAGCTAATATTTCTTCAGAGATGGCAAAAACCATGCATGATTATCTCCGACCTATACAAATGTCAGAGGTTAGGTAAAAAGACAGCAGCCATGGTATGGATGTCTGAAGGGAAAAAATATGTTTTGCAAAGATTTGATGTTGCGGCCAAGTTTAATGAGTTTCCGCCGGTTAAATGTCTGGTCTGTTCTGTTCCCTCCTTTTCTCTCTTATCACTGAACTCACAGTTTAACAGTTGTCATTAACATATTTTCTTTTGTTTTGGCAGGCAACTGATTGGTGCAACACAATGATTTGATTGAGGCTCATAAAAGCTACATATTAACCAGACACACTGTTACTCCTGTGCTGCTGCACTGATACATTGTCCAATCAACGTCACAAAAACCTAAAGGTTAATGACAACACGGATGTGATCAGCTTTTTTGACATTTAAAATGAGTATTCACAGAGTGAATTAGGGCAAAACTAGTCTTCTTAACTTACAGCCCCCACACTGTGTCTTGAGCACAACTATCATCATTTCAGAAGATAAGTTTTAAACATCAAAACTAAAATTGAAGGCTGGCATTGGATGGATTTTGGACTCTGTGGAGACTTAATTTTGTGTGTCAAGATCACCTTGGTAAGGACCATAGACCATGGAGAGAAAACATGTATTGTCTCACCTGTGGTCGTCTCTGTACCACTCGAAGGCGGCTGGTGGGACTGCCATGGCTTCGCAGCGCAAGATGGTCGTTTTACCCAAATGAACTGGCATGTTTTTCATGTCTGTGATCATGGGAGGGTCTGGCAGGAAACGCGAGGGAGAAAACAATGGAGAAACAGAAGGAGGGAGGCAGCAATTAGTATACATCTGCCTTCACCGGGAAGTCAAGTCGGGCCAGCACAGGGTTGCAAACAAGGTTGATAATCCCCCGGTGAGAGCAACATTAAGATGTATAAGCTCATACATAATAATGAAACTAACATATTAACATATATTATGACTACATCATTGTGCTATTACACAGCAGGTCCAGTGTGACTTGAATTATCACCACTGGGATGCTGTGAGGCGCAGAGAGGGATACTTACAGTTGACCGTGACCTTGACCTTGCGCTGATCGGGTGGAGACACTCCATTGTTGGTGATGCATTCGTAGTCCTCGGCCTGCTCCCTCTTGATCTCTGTGATGTCCAGGAACTCCCCGTCACTCACCAGCCCATCTATGGACATAAGGCAGATGTCAAGGGGTCAGTATATATCAAATGCAAGGTGATTCCGGGTACTGATTTAGGGTTGACCACTTGAGATACTGCGGCGGGGGGACTGACAAACCTATAGCTCAGATGGTTTTAAGACCATGGGGGAGGCACCAATACATATCAGATAACAATATAATCTATATTTAGATGTACATTTTCCAATATTGACATAGTGTATATGTGATATGCTGGAAATCGATATCCTGATATACATTAGCAAATGATGTATCACAAGGCAAGTATACATCTAAAATGTAAAAATCCATGTTTGACCTCATGAACTGAATAATGTCTTCTCACTTTGTCAACTTGTAATTACAATGGGTTGATTGGAATCATTATTCATCATTTGGACCACCCAAACAACAACATGAAATTAATAATAAACATATTTGTGTCATGATCCTTACTAAGAGCCTCAAGCCTCTTGGTTCATTAAAGTAATGGGCCAGCTGGTGAATTGTTGTGTAGATAAACATGTTGTAAGTAAATATGATATGACAGAACTAACACCATTTTCTTGTATAGTGTCAGGGGAGATTGTAAGTATTTCTTCCAGGCAGTGGACACAACAGGGATGACCCGTTCACTACATTACGTATTGAGAAGAATATTTGGCTGTTATTTGATGTTGACAAAATCCCAGGTGCCCCAAAACCAAATTAGTCAGTCTAGCACTTTCAGTTTTTTTTCCTCGGGGCGACAAACAGCCACAACATCTCTTCAGAGGGGAGAGTCAAAGAGACAGGATACAAGTTATTGCTCCTTCATGTGAGGGAATTGATGTTGGGGGTGTTATTGAATCGGCGGCAGCAGCAGAGAGAAGAGGAATGAGAGTGAGGGTGCACCCCCCCCTCCTCCCTGCAAGCCAGCTGTCCCACAGCCTCCAAAACCATTAGGTCTTTTTTTTTTCTCCCCTTTACCCCATTAAAGAAGTCAGACTGTGGAACACGACATAATACATAATCTCACTACTAACAAGGAGATCCAGCTCTTAAATTGCCGCACACTTTCCCCTTTCAAAGCCCACTAAACATACACACAACCACCGTCAGTCAGTGGACCTTTACTTCCCCTCACAAACACAATAAAATTCCCTGAGCACGTTTGTGAGCAACACCGACGCAAACACACACAAAAAAGACGCTAAACGCCATGATTATTCCTGTCAGAGATTAGCGCGGCGGTTCTAATTGGAGATTATACTGGAGGATTATTAGTGTGGCTACTGAGCTGGAAACGAGTATTTGCAGCTGCTGCGGCTGCGGCAGCGGCTGAGCAGCGAGCGTCAACGTCTGCTCCTGCCACCCGAGAAAGTGCAGGGCACTGGGTGATGAGGTGGGGTGGGTGCAATGTTATTCATTCATTCCATTAGTTTAATAAATATAGTTCTCGTGTGACATCTCTGTCAAGTAAGCAGAGCAGCCAACTTCGCCAGAGGGGGCGAGCTGAGGCGGTATGCAGGGGGGGAAAGTGGAGAAATAGATCGAATCAGACAACTAGCACTGGAGAACACACAGGGCTGTTACAGATGACTTCCAAGAAATAAAAAGCTAAAATAAAATAAAAAATGAGAGCAATCGAGCGCTAGAGAGCGCATTACAGATACACAGAGAGTGGTCATTTGCAAGAGATGTCGAGCAAGACAGTCAGACAGATACACAGATATAAAGATAGAGGAGAAAACTGCAACGTGAAGAGGGAAACAGAGAGATGTCAAGCTGGGTTTTGATGTGGATGGTTCCTTCATGGACTTGTAATCCTCAGCACCATGTGTGATGTAATATGACAGTGCAAAGTAGCTCTCTCTCTCTCTCTCTCTCTCTCTCTCTCTCTCTCTCTCTCTCTCTCTCCCTCCCTCTCCATCCCCCTGAGATCTCTAGACAGGCATGGCACACCTTTACTCCACTTTGGTGGGAGATGATATCTGACTGGAGTCGGCCTCTAGCACCCTTACAATGGTCTGTAAAATACATCTCCATCAACCACTTATGGCTTTTGAAGTAGCCTGACTCCTGACCACCAGAGATAGTTGGATTGCACCTGAGAAGAGAGGGGGGCGACATGAATGAGAGGAAGGGAAAAAAGGGATCATGGGTTCAGCCCTGCCCTACAGTGACACCATGCTCTATTTCCACAGCAGCACTTTGAGCTTCAATAGATCATCAGTGCACTTGATTTCTCGGCTCCTCTTATGCATTTCCATTACAAAAACGACCATCCAGGCAGAGAGGTCTGTTGGGTTGAAACAGAGATGGATGGGTGTCCTTAGAGTCTGTCAAATCTGTCCTTCAGACGAGGAAAATGCTGAAATGGTGTGTTACTTGAGCCAGAAAAGCCACCTGCTAAAATTAAGTCCATAGCTTTCAGTTTTCTCAGACGGGTTATCTTACATTTTTTAAACAATTACATTTGTTTTGTTTTTATTAATGCCTGACCAAGAAGGAATTTACCGGTAGACGAATGATTGCCGACGTCTTGTCCTCTCCAAAACAAAAACATTGACTGAAGCTGCTTCATGTTATACATCTGTGTTTTTCCATTGCAGTTCGGTGAACATAAGTGGAGGTGCTGCAGCTTGTTTCTCTGACAACTGAAGATCCAGATGTTTAGGATGAGCAAGAGCGTAATTCTTCTCCTCTCCAAAACGATTTGCTTTTTTCTTTGATAACTGAAGTGTAGAGCAAGGAAGCAAAACATACTTTTCTGGCTTTCTAAACACACATTTGTCTTGTGCTCACAAAATATGAGAGCAATGTAATTAAACGGAGGCCTCAAATGGCTAACTAATTAGAATAGACAGCATTACATTTAAAAAAAGAGCACAAGAATATTTTGTGGTGAATCAATTTTTTCTTCTTTTTCAAATATCAGCAGGAGTGGATAAATAAACTTGTGAGAACTTTCTGGCAACGCTTTCCAATCTTCAGATTTCCACACTCAAGCTGCGCACCTGCAATGCATTCTCTCATCAAGCCACACCTGTCCCTCATCCAGTCCACTTAGTATATAAAACCACACACACACACACACACACACACACACACACACACACACACACACACACACACACACACACACACACACACACACACACACACACTGATTTTTTAATCATCTCTATTCTGGATTTGTTTGGCTCTGCTGACTGCTTAGCTTTTGCCAAACTCTACCTTCCTTTTTCAATCCTACTTTTGCTGATGATTCAAGCTTGTGGATGCACACAAACACCCACATCCTTTAACAGCCTATAAACTCATTGTCAAAGGCATATACTTCTTTATGCTTATCATAATCAAGTTGTTAGTGAAAGTGCATTCCTCCTTCTCGTCTCACTACCACAAGCATCCATCCATCCATCCATCCATCCATCCATCCATCCATCCATCCATCCGTCCATGCTAAGCTTGTGTGCCCGTGTGTTTTAACAGATGGGACATCAAATGATAGGGCCCTTATTCGCTGGTGTATTTAACTAAATAAGACACAACTGTACCGTATGTCTTTGAGTCTGTCAATTGATGGATGCCAGTGACAGTGAATGGGTGCAACAGATAGTATCTGATCTTTGTTCAAATGAGGAAGAAGGCAGTGCCTACAGACCTCAGTGCAGAGAAGTGAAACTATCTGTATGTGACTCTGGTAACTGTGGACAAGTTGCAAAGGGTTTAAAAGCTCTAAGTAGGTCTCTGTCTCGCCTCAAAAGGGCTGCACTTCCTCTTACCTCACCACCACCAGATTTTCCACCCAACCTCAACATACACTGTTCTCCTCAACCCCCCCCCCCTCGCTGCAGCTTCTCTATGCAGTCTCTGAGTAATGGGGACAGATGGCTGGCAGCTTCTTGCTGTTTCTTTGGGCTAGTTCTCCCTCTCTTTCTCCTCCGCCCCTGGTCTCCTGCAACTGATGGCTTGGTTGCACAGACTCCCACGGAATAGCAATGCATCCCCTATCTCTTTCCCTGCAAGCTGTGGGGCTATTATGGGAGAGAGGGAGGACACGGGAGAGGCGGTTTGAGATGGTGGGGGTGGCTTGAGAGGGAAGATTACTGCTGACAGAGGAGAAATGCTGTAGACTTGCAAGTGAGAGCAGCCGCGCAGAGTTTGCGATGTAAGGTTGTGGGTGTGCTGCAGGTGTGTGCTTGTACATGCTTTACTTTTCTACTTCATGTATTTGTGGGTGTCAGTGATCTCTACGGGCTTGCCCCTGCCTAAGGTACTGTGTAGGTTCACAAACACTGTACTGTGCAGAGAAGGACATTGCACACACAACAGGCTATCCCAGGGACAAACCAGGGAGAGCGGAGGAGGAACAGACCTCTGAGCAAGCCCAAAGCTATCAGTGAGTACAGCAGTACAGTATAGGTTGCGCATTTATTCATCCAACAGTATAATCACAGCTTGTTGACAAGATGTTCGCATTGACCTATTTATTATTGCTGTCTCGGTGCTGCATTTGATCTGTGCTTCTGCCGCTGTAGTCAAGCTGCAACTCAGGCAATACTGTTGTGAGGTAGAAATGCATTCAACCGTGACTTTTGTGACATCCATGCAACACCCTCCTTACAAAGTGTTCATTATTTGACTTTCAGAATATGGAAAAGTCTTAAATAACCCTTGTTTTGTTATAAATCTCTCATCTGCCTTGTTCAAAAGTTCAATCTAAGATATTTTGGACTTTTCTCCACACACATGGCCATATTTAACAGAGCAAATACCAGGGTTCATACACTTTTTCACCAATGCTTCTCCATGACTTCTCCATGACCTATACCTAATTTTCCATGACCAAAAACATTACTCTGTCTCAGCGGTACCACTGAAAATGGTTTATTTGAACATAGAACAGGAAAATAAGGTCTGAAACATGTTGTGCCTATCTAAAACAAATCAAATAATAGGCTTCGCTTCTACAGGCTAAAGCAACTAAAATCTCTCACCAGCAAAATATTTTTACATTTTACGTTTCATTACTACACGATACAGTATTTATTATCATTATAGTATTACTATTTCGGCGATTAGCTAAAATATAAATTATATTTGATGCAATTTTAGTCACATTTCCATGACCTTTCCAAAACTTTGGGAAAAATATTGTTTTCCATAACTTTTCCAGGGCCTGGAATTAGTATTTTGAATTTCCATGACTTTTCCAGGTTTGTAATGACCGTAAGAACCCTGAAATACAGTTTAGTTCATATTTCAACAAAGAGCTCATGGAGCTCATGCAATATGCAATGTATTCCTGTTTATTTAAGCCAAACTGAATAGCAAACATTGAATTGTAAAAGCCTCCGAAGTCTAAAGAGATAAGCAAGTAAAACACATTCAGGAATATTGAGTCATGGATTAATGTTATATTCAGTACATGGAAAATGTCTTTATGTGTCAAACAGTTCACACAGCACTGCCATTACATTTAATAAAAACATGTCATCTCCACTGGCACTGTAATGCTTATTTTCCCGACTTTGGACGTAAGTGGTGACAAAGACGGGAACAAATATAAAATAAATGCTGTGTTGATCAAATCAAATGGATTTGACTTCATCCGTCAGCCTGACAACTCTCAACTCATTATGATTCCCCAAAATGATGGAAGCTAAAAATAGATGATTTAATGCAAAAAGGGGCTGTTAGCGTAGGTTGGCTTCATGATGCCAGCTGACAGGGTGGATGAAGACAGATGCTGATGATTACAGGTGGCGCGGTGGGGATAATTAGGTATAATGTGTGGTTATTTGGGACAAAACATTGGGACATTGGGAAAATGCGGAGAGTATAAATGTAGGATCAGGACAGACTAAACAGCTGGGTTTAAGAGTTATGGCACAGGTATGTGGGATAAAGATGTGGATATGAGCTGAATACTGATAAGCCTTTAGGAAGAAAAACAGGGTTAAAAAAATAAAAGCGCTAAGGCAGACCCGGGGTAGGGATGAATGTGAAGGCATGGAGATAAAGGTGAAGCTGTAAACAAGAGATCTCTGGATGTGAAGACAAGCAAACAGGAAGGGGTAGCTTACATTTCTGGTCTTTCCAGGTGACGGTGGGCTCAGGCCGACCCACCGCCAGACAGAAGAGGTTTACATTCTCTCCCTCGTTCACAGACACGTTTTTCGAGATGTTGACGATTCTGGCGGGCACTGAAAAACAAGATCATGCTATTAAAATATGACCTCAAAATCCCCTCTCATTTCATACATTATTGATGAGATATGCCCTTACAGCCTATTAAGGTGTTTAAAGTATAATGCAAATCCCTGCACCTAAGACAGAGAGGCAATCAGCTGATTAATGATCTGTGCCTGAGTGCTTACTGAACTGTGCAACAATATGCTTGTCCGTCTACTTATGATGCACTGCATTGTAATTTGCTGCAAAGGGCAATACAATCTAATCAGATCTGATCTTTAAAGAAAAAAAAGAAAATGTGTCGAACTGATAGTGTGAATTTTTACTTTTAAGTCGAATGACCACTTTGCCCCAAACCCACAAAGGGTTGAAGTGCTATGCATGTAGTTAGTTTGATAACAAGATGGCCCTTGAATTTAAATGGCCCATTATCATTTATTTTAATGAGCTTGGCCCTGAGATTGCTTTTTTTTTTTGCAACGCATCTACCGAGGATCCTATTTTTCTTTATCTTACTAGAGTTGAATACTTGCAGCGATAAAGCACAGACTGGAGTGGCGCTGAAGCTGCTCCTGCTTGATGCACTGACTTCAGGGTGTAATTATTTTGTGAGATACCAAGCTAGGGCTGGAACTGCAGGCGACTTCGAATTAGGTATATGGTCATCTGTGCCAAGCTTTGCACCCTGCAGACATGAGTGTTTGTTTGGCTGCAGTGCAATGTGAAAACTCTGTTAGTAAGCAGCTGACATTGTTTCCGCCACCTGTAAGCTGTGAGCCAGCTCTTGTGTTTTCATTCCAACAGCCTAATATATCCAGTTAAAAGTTTGATTCTCCTGGTGATGTATTCGTGCAATTTGCCCAACACACAGTCGAAAATATGCATGCAAATTGACACATGCAGGAGGAAAAGGTCTGAGACCCATCCTCTGGGCAGGTCTGCGCCCATACATCATGTCACTCAGGATCAGCCAGACTCTCACTCACTTAGCTGCTGACTTGATGACTGAGCCTCAGTCGCGGTCCTGAATTGTCAGTTATTTAGTCAGGCAGTTGGAAAACCCCCCCTGTGTATCTCATCTCCATCACACACACCCTCATCCATCTGCATATCTTTCTGTTTATACAGACAAGTAACCCTAACTGGCTACATGGAAATAATGGGAATGTGATTTGTCACCTGCACTAGACTGGCTGTGCTGTAGCCAGTGGCGGATTGAGACCACTTTTACTGGGGCCAGTTATTTGAGGAGAGGGGAACATTTATTGCGGTACAAATTAAACATTTTTTGTTCAGTTTAAAGTCATTTTGCCCCAAGAAATCCAAAAAATGTGTTTGTGTCAACCATTTTAAAAATGTAATTACAATCTGTTGGCCCCCCCCTAGAACCGCCAATGGCTGTAGCCTCACAAGCATTGGCTTTCAGACTGAATCATATACTTGCCGTTTGATATAACCATAAATACCAACCTTAGATACTCAAACATCATAAAAACAGTAACTACTAAGTTTCCTATCATACATTTAGACATGATTTACCAGAAAAGGAACTTTGAAATGTAACCATAGGAAATCTTAATTGCTTCCCCTGAAGTCAAACCTAAATCATATTCAATAGACAGCACTGCTCATATGAATTACCAATTAAGCCATTCAGCTTTTGTCAAAGGCTGCTTACACTAACATCGGTGCACACATATATTATTTAGCAGTTGCCTTGGCAATCAAATCTGCAGGCTCTGGATCGTTTTTGGAAAGGAGCCAGCAGTTGGAAACATTTATTACAGATTCCTGTTTGGCCTCCACTCAGCTGCTCACCTTGGACGATGAGGTAGACATGGGCGATGCGGGGCTTGTTGTTGGCCTGGAAGGTGCATGTATAAGGCCCCTCGTCGGATATTTGCACGTTGTCGATGTGGATGGAGAAGTCACTGTTGTTGCTGTTGGCCAGCGTCACGCGCTTGTCCAGTGACCACTTGTCTGTCCCTGTGAACAGGATGTTGGAGCGGTTCAGCCAGGCCTTGTGGGTCACCTCCTCGTCGATCCGACATCTGTGAGGGGACAGGAAGTGATTAACAGGTGAGAGGCCTGCATTACATTATGTGTAGGTTGACCCTAAACAGTGCTGAGGTGTTTTATCATTACATTTATAATAAGTAAACACAAACAAATGAGTGATTTATCAAATTAAAACATCTAATTAGTTATACTATGGCAGCCACCATAAAGATGTTAAAGCTTCTCAGAAAAGATAACTCATGATACAGAAGTGATGGCGTGTTTATCATGTTGCTGTTGAACATGTTGTTTCAAAATATCCTATAGGGGTTCAATTATGTGCAAATACAGTGACTGCAAAGGTCATAATATATGATTCACATCTTTTTCAACTAATTATACCACTCATGGACCCCTCATGCCCAGTGCTGTATCCAAACATTTGCATCTATGTCTCTAGAGTAGACTAATAATATTTTTCTGGTTTTTCCTCCATTTCTCTGCAGCCAGTTGCTAATGAATATCCATCACTCCTGTTACACAGATGGAGAAAAATGGGTCATATTATAAAAAAAGGTGGTTGAGATCAGTTTTACAAAAGTACAGCTTGCAAGCAACGCATTGCATAAGAAATGGTTGTCCGTTATTCTTTTAACAGCTGGGTTACTTTGTCTGTAACATTGTCTGTTTGCCAATGGATGCAGTCCAAGGTACATTCAAGTCCAGAGGTTTGTCCACTGGCCATTAGCCTTAAAGTGGCTGTACAATTAAATTAGATTAAATGGAAATACATGGAAACATTAGTGGAAATAATCAAAGAGGGAATTATGATGTTGGTGATAAAAGTGTATTAATTCATTACTTTTGTTCTAAAAGATTGTGGCTATTTCCAAACCACAGTCCACAGGTGTGACTTCAGTTCTTGCCTCGGCCACTAGATGTCCTTACCCAGCCTCAACTAGCTGTGAGGACATGCCTCTGTAGTCCTCATGTTTAATTGATAAGACCCAGATAAATATCACGGTTGAGGTAGATCTTAGATCACCTGCCAAGTCACTGACACCACAATGCATAACAGCCACAGTGCAGCAAAGCATGGAAGTCCTTTACAAATAGGCTACAAGGCACTGGGCTGACGTTCAGGTGGACACATGACCTGAGGGCAGACCACTTCTAACAGGTTTTGAAATATTGGAAATAAAAAGGGAATATTATTTGATTTGAATTCAGTTTGTTGCCGGTGGGTTTAAATAAAGAGACGATACAGTAAGAAAACCCACCATTAAAAATCATTATCTGTGGACCCTCTATTATCTATTTTTAAAATTAATCACTTCTGCACTGATGATGTTGCTATATGACTGCAGGCCAAGAGGAAATGAGCACCATAATAACATCAAATGTCTTAATGGCCCGCATCAAAGCCAACACAACAGCATTGTCTCAAGCACAGCACAAGTATTTTTCCAACTTGGGCGGAAGTGATTTTACATAAAAATAGAGTTTATTTATAAAGCTCTATAGTCTTATGTTTGTTAGCATTCGGCCGTTCTGTGCAGACCGTCCTTACACACACAAATTATTATAAAATATGCCGTAACATCTCTACTGAGGGAGTTAGTAAGATAGTGCTTTCTGAATTTAAACTCATAGTACAATTCTTAAGCAGTGGTTCCCAAAGGGGACACCCAAACACAAGCCCGAGGGGTTATGAGATGGTTAACAAAAGCAAAGTAGGAAAACATGTTTCTGCAATAAAAAAAACAGGTATATATTTTTTCAGGCTTTGATCAAATCTTTGAGTGTTTTCTCTTGTGAGTTACTGTATAATGTTAAAACGAAATGAAATGAAATACAACACGCATTCAGAAAATAATAATCATTTGGTGGAACTGGTCCAAACCTGTAGATGTATGCAACTTGTGTAGAAAACCCAGTAGTGGCATAACATTTAGTTATGTTTAGTTTTAACAGTAAAAGGGGGAGGTTTATAGTGACTTGTCTCCATGCTTTAATGTTCAAAAAGGTGTTTATTTTTCTTTGTGCTACAGCAACTCTTTTCACACTCTGTGGCCGTTTCTCAATGTCGAGTAAACCTGCTGCAGAGCCACTATTTCAAGTATACTACGTCATCGAGTGGACTGAAGGACTGTTTAAATGCATGTTAAATACCCAGCATTCGGCGCCACTCGATGACGTAGAATACTTGAAATAGTGGCTCTGCAGCAGGTATACTCGACATTGAGAAACGGCCTGTCTGAAACCAGAGCCCAGTCTGCTCTGATTGGTTGGCTGGTTGGCTATGTTGTGATTGGTCAACCGAAGAGATGTCCTGCCCCTTATCCAATCAATTTGTCAAAAGTCATGGGAGATGGCGACCCTGTCTACAGCCAGAAACAAGGTAAAAAATGCCAGTAATGTAACATTAATGCACAGCTCTCCTTATACTCAACTGTAAATGAATTTAAGGTGACAGTGAAAGCACTGATTTTAGCACCCAGTGTGAAAACACCCAAATACGTTTTATAGATTTAACATCTCCACAGCATCAATAAAACAGCCTCAGGCTTCACGTCTTGATGACATTATAGACCAGCGTCCTGGTCCTTTGATTTCCAACATGGTGAGAGACATGTTGATGTTAACAATTATTGACAGAGCTGTGCATGGCTTCCTAATAACACATTTGATTTAAGTGAAAGGCCCACTCCTCTTTCAAGAGAAAAATGTGACTAAAAGAGGAATTTGTTCAGAAATCTGAAGAGGTGTAGGCTTAAAGGGAATGAAAGTAATGTTGACTTGGAGTTGACTTTTTGAGCTGCTGTATGTAGTGCCATGCCAGGTCACATCCAGAGGAAGGGGGAAAGCAAGTTAGCTGTTTTTCCGCTTGGTTGGTAGCCGGGGAAAGCTGTGATTTCTACTTTATCACTCACAGTTAGGCAGGTGAGGTTGGATGCAGATGAGCTCTACCCCCTGTACTGACCTGTGCAATAATATTTTCACATTTAAATAAAAGTTGATTGCAGACAGACAGGATGACTCCAGCAAAAAGTAACAAGTAATACCATTTTATTTGCAAGGATATAAAAAAAGAGGAAAAGTATGGCACAATGTGGGATGCTTCATTGAAGTTTTGTGAGAGAAAATTGGTAATTAACAGGTGGCATGACAGGTGGGTGGAAAACACCAACATGTTTTTTTAGGCAATTAGTAGGTGCAGGTGTGGGATTAGGAGTTACCTCAAAGTGACGCTTTCTCCTTCCAACACTGTAATGTTGTCCGGCAGGTGTCCGAATTCTGCTCCGTGCACACTGGACGCTGCCAAGAAAAAAAGAGAAAATACACCAATGAGCTTCAAATAACGGTAACAGGCGCTGGTGTTCATCAATCTCAGGTCAGGTGCTTGAGAATCGACTGCCTAACCAAATCACGTTGGGCGGAGATGTGCTCTGCATCCTGCTTACCCTTTTCTGAAGGGAAAGTAATAAATATACTAAACAAAAGAGTCACAACGTCTGCACTGACCCCCGTTCTTGAATAATGATTTGGTTTTACCCTGCATTCTGGTGGGATGCACGTTCGTTCATTGAACAGCACTGATAATGAGCCAAGGGAAGAGGATTCACGCGGAGCTGCCGGAGCGTGAAATGAAGGGACAGCAACGGTAACAGAAGGGATGCTCATCCTGCCTACCAACACACACACACACACACACACACACACACACACACACACACACACACACACACACACACACACACACACACACACACACACACACACACACACACACACACACACACACACACACACACACACACACACACACACACACACACACACACACACACACAGAGAACAGAGACACATGCTTACCAAAGCACAAACACGCACAGGAACATACACACATACTGAGAGCCATTAGTTGAAGAGGAAAAACGAACTTGGCATCTTTGAGATGTGTTTCGGCACTCAGGTGAGAAAAACACTTTAAAACAGTTTGAAGTCTTTTTGTGAACTTGCTTGGGTAGAAAACAAAGATAACCAAAGACCTTATATGCTGGCAGAGAAAGTGCCTACTGAGGCAGGCCGCTCTCTAATAAGACACCTGGCTATACCCGTCTAAACTCTGCCAAATCACAGCATGACACGCAGTACCTCAGCTTGTGTCTTGCCTCCATCTCCAACAATCTCTTTCTCCCTCTCCCAGTAAAATGACCTCAATATCTCCAATAAGCTTTTGCCGTGGTGTAGCCTTGAGGTTTAATAAATGGTGACTTTATGAAATGAAGCCGGCGCAGTGAGGAGCTTAGAAGCACCTCAAGGTTTGTTAAATAGCCGCACAAAGTCAAAAACATGTTAAGCATGCCGATTGGGAATCCGCTAAGCAACGAGACCCAAAATGACGGCAATGCAGCACTAGAGGAAATGTGGGTTTTGAATTAAAAGCGGGTCTTTGTGGAATCATGGTTTGATTACAAAGAATAATGAGAGAGGCTTCAGAATAATAATGTGCTTCATGGATTGCTAATCAAAAGGTTTTCAAACTGCATAACAGAAAGTCCGGAGAAGTGCCAACTACACTAAATAATAATTAATCATCTCAAAATAAAGACTAATTATGCCTCTTTTTCCGCGTGTTGTTGTGAATGCAGTGTGGTTTGGCTAGTGTGCGTGGCTATGGCACAGTCAATATGGGCTACGTGCATGCTTGCGTATTCATATATTCATGTGCGTATGATTGTGTGTGCACCATTGCATGTGTTGCGCATGGTTGGATATAAGCAGTTACAGTACCTAGCCTTCTGTTGCTCATTTGTGTGTGAATGCGTGCATTTGTTTACTGACATACCGGTGGAGAAGAAGAAAGGAGGACAAACTAATGATGCCTCTAAAGAAAACTGGCCCTGAAAATCTTCAGCTAAAAGCTATAATCGCATTAATGGGTGCTGCTGCTGCCACTGCTGCTGTGCTATCTAGGGCGGCCAAGGATCCCAGAACTGGCTCCAATATTCTCTCCCTCTCTCTGAAAGCCTTAGAGGAGGGGTGTAGCACATTAGCCATTGTGTCCAATGTTTAAAAACTGACACAAGCTTTCGTTTATCTGTGTTTTTTACAACAGAGTAATGTTGCCTAGCTGTGCTTGTGCTTTCTGTCTTAAACTCAGACAGTCCTTCGCTCAAGCCCTCAGCTGTTGCCTTTCAAGTGTTCTGTACGCTACACACTAGACTTTATTTAGGTTAATTCAATTCCGTTCCAGGGCTTGGGGCTTGGAGACGGGTGTGACATGCTGTCATAAATACACACTAGCCCACATACGCAATTACAGACACACACATAGAGAGAAGTCGCTCTCTATCATATAATGTAACCATCGGGACACAAACGCAACCCACACATTTTGATTGAATGAATGATGAATGCATACGCTGAATGCTTCAAACAACATTGCGAAGGTTACGGACCAGCAGGGAGCAATTCCCATTTCCCTACTCAATTCCCATTTTCACAGCTCGATTGGCACCCTCATTCTAAAACCTGTATCAACCTGCCTCTGCTCACAGACGCTGCACAACGTGATAACCTGGTCGACACATTCAGCACACACTTTCTGTCAAACACACAACACCAATCACAGACGTGCCATGCACACATACTGTATGCAAACACACTCATCGAAGAGCTAAACAAGCAGCGGAGGAGCTTTGTCTGAGTTCATTGTGACAACGATCCCATGTGAGATTTTTTGTGGGATTTACAAATGTGTTGGCATACACAGGGGGAACTGGAATACCTAGCATCCACTGTTTCTGATTTATTCACTGTAACTCTTAGTGACCTCTGTCACTCACTGGATGCTCAGTATGCAGTGCAAGTGTTGCTTGAGTTAGTAGAAAAAGTGAAAATGTTGTACATAATCAACAGCTTGTGTACTGTATACCAAACAAACAACAGATGCATCTGTGTTTTGGAGATGGAAGACCACCTCAATCTTGAGACAAAAGCTGACCTTTCTTCACCTTGGTAGCTTAGCATTGTATGAATAGCAATTATACTTTATTTTGGCATAAATATCTTATCGGAAATCTAGAGCAGACCACGTTGAATATAACCCGAGCTTCCAGGAAAATTGACAAACTTTATATTCAGAAGTAGCTATTCGAATATTTAAGGTTGAAAGCAATACATTCAAATGACAACATAAATAGATATTTGGAAAATAAACCTTTTACGGTTTAATGATTGCTGTAGCTCATTTTCAAATAAAAAAAGTCTAGAACCAGCAATACTTAATTTATAAACATACCTTAATTACCTAATCTATTAACGCTGATTTTAGCAACCAGGGTGGAAATCCTGTTGTGAAAATTGGCCAAAGCAATAAACAATAAATATTACATGGAGGAAAATGGCTTCTGCCTTCGCCGATAACAGAATGGAAAGTGGGCCTCGGAAACATCTCATTAATGGGAGAGTGGGAACGCTGGGTGTAAAAACAACAAAATGCAAACATCATCATCTGGCTGAATGACAACATGTGTCCAAGGCCTTTTGATGTCATCCATATAATGTATCCCTTTCAGGCAATACATTCAAATGTTGCAGACCAAACACAGCAGACATGATCAAAGGGGACAATAATGAGTCCAGAGTGCAACCAGCAGTGTGCGGTTGCACGGCCAAAACAGAATCACCAGACATCACTTTCAATTCCTGGACTACTTTCGGCTTTATTGATCCCTATCTCAAATCCTGCTTTTTCCCTTCTCCCTCCCGTTGCTCAGCATGCAGGCCGATGAACTGCACCCCCCTGGAGGAGTCTCGCCCGTTGACACTCTAGAAAGGAGGGAGTGCTTGCCAACAGGGAAGCTTTAACCACCGTCTACCCTGCAGACTCTGAATGTGGAAACACAAACACAATGTGAAAGCCAAAAGAAAGCTCTTTGTCTTAACCACTTTGGCACAGTCCTTTACTAAAACAAAAATGGATTTGTTTGTGTGAGTGAAAACAATCCTGAGCCTGTTTAAAACCACAAGTTAGCCGAGTACGAATAAAGGGATGATGTACAGTATAACGTTATCAAACAGTGTTGGTGGGAAACACTGCAGTGGCCCCTGGTGTTGGTTCAAATGTCCTGCCCACTGTTGTCTACAGCTCATACAGCCTGTCATGGCCACTGGTAGTTCTTGTCCTTGCTATGACCTGCTGATTTGGCACACAACAGGAACCCCCGTGTCCATACATAACACACATTCACACACAAAGACACACTTGTATTCTGTCCAAATGATCCTGTGAAGCCTTTGTCTGCACACAGCAGTGAGCTTTGGGTCTAGATTTGCTGGCATTTTTAAGAGAATAACATTTTATGGACAATCCTGAGGCAGTTACATAAAGGAAAATACTAGAAGACCATTAATTCACCTATAAGGGTCAATCAGTTCAGCGGTTATAATGAACACCCTACAAAAGGAAGAACCTGTTCTGCTCATCTGTGGATAACGCTTTATCTATTGTTAGCTTATAGGTGGACATTCAAATAATTATTTCCACTTGTGGTCCACTGTTTGTCTCCCAGCTCTCCTGCAATGTGTCTTTGGAGCGTTGCAAGGCTGCTTGTTCAGTACCCATGACACATCTATTATGTGATTTGTATTCTCTTGACTTTTACATGCGCCTGTTTGTAATTGCACTTGCTACTGGCAGACACTTATGAGCAGAGCTCTATTGAGCAGTGAGACCTTAGCCTGCATAGTCTTTGCAAGGCTGTCTTTGAACAGTGCATCTGTTCGCATTGCCCTTGACGCTCAAATAAACAGAGAAAGGAGGCAAAGCTACATTTGAAAGCATTATTGGCGTCAAGACGGATAACAGCGGCGGCTGTAATGAAACACATAACAATAATCCATTTTAAGGGAGGCTGCCATGGTTTTGAAATTGAAAAGAGCAGAGAGGCACAGCACAAGGTTGGAAGACAGAGGTGAAATAGATAGCTGGGGTGAGTCCCCAAAAAGAAAGTCATTGAGAAATAAGAAAAGCTATAGTGGAATATGGAATTACAGTGTGTTGTGGAGCAGCAGCAACAGTAGAGTAGTGTTACAGTTGTTGCAGCAGCAGTAGTAGAAGGTGACAATAGCAGTATTGGTGTTAATAGTAGCAGAAAGGGGAGAGACGGAGTTGCACCCCTATGAGGAGGAGGAGAGAAATGTGCGAGGACACAGTCTGTAGCACTGGGGCAGAGAAAGCAAAGGAAAGACACATCCGCATAATTAACATCGGCATGCTGCAGCCAATTAAATATTTACAGAGCCACTTC